GTATATTCCCACAGTATGGTTCATGTAGATTATTAAGAACAGTCTTTTAATTCTACCTCTATTAACTGAACTGAGGAGAAAAAAAATATGGAAATTGTTTTTTTAAATATAGAAATATATATTGCACAAATTACTAATATAAAGTAGCTATTTTGGAAGCTTGCAGAAGTGCAGCTGTATCTTGGTTCCAGTTTGAATACTTATAACAATCTTATGAAATGGTTCTCAAAAGGAATTTCACTTAGTGGTTTATTCTCCGCTGTGACCAGAGATGAAGCACTGTAAATAACATCACTTCTTGTTACAAGATCTCTATTACAGTGAGGAGCAACGAGATGAATTTTAGCCTTAAAACTGAATTTTATGACCTTTCAAGTCACATTCTTAAACCTCATTTGAGCAGAGTTTTCTATTTTTGAATATGTTATTGAACGGAAAACCATGAAGTGACATAATAAAATCTGTTCTCATTTTGCGGCCGTTCTCAGGTGTAAATTAGACCCTTCTATTGTCTTATTTATTTACTTTATGCTATATAAAGTTAGCAATCGTTTTGCTAAAAATATTTTTGGTATGTTACATTTAACTGCTTATGCCTGATCCGTAACATTTTCACTTGAATAGGAGAGACAAAACCATTGTCGTAGCACTGAAATAAAAATGAATAGTAAAATCATTACTAAAAGATGTGACTTCACTTTGTGTTACAAATTTTCTAGATTTTTAAATATAGAGAACTTGAATGCACTTTACCTGAGTAAAGAAGTGTAAAGAATCTAAGCAAATTATTACTCTTTATTTGTTATTTCATGATTAGCTACATATATAAGCTAAAAAAAAAAAAAATCTAACTTACATCCTATCTTAGTTCAAAAATTTAAGGTCACAGAATCAGTTTTTTAAGCATGTCACTTATAGTAACTCATTACTTTCAAAAGCTTTCAATAGAAATGACTGCATTGTACTATCTATAAACAAATCTCACAAATATATGTGGGTCATCCTATAACTATAATACAAATGTGACCTAAAAAGTGACAAACCCACATCGGGCTATTTTCCTAAATATATCATGTTGTAAAAATAATAATAAAAATTATAATCTCCAGAGCGCACAAAGAAGGATTTCAGGTTTAGACATCTAAATATATCTGGCTTTGCAAAGATGGTGACAAAATGCTAATACTACTACATGTCACTTATCAAAATTCAAAAACTGCCATGCATTAATATGTTAGTGTAGAGCTCGGATAAGATTTATAGATTGTTCTTAATTCACTTAGGTGCTCTAAAAATCTTTTATCTCAGGGAAGTAAAAGACAAAGTGTGAGTAAACTGTGCTCACTCTGTTTTTCAAAACCGTTTTTCGAAACTGTCTCGTCTATTATGAATCTTAGTTAGGAAAATTCAGAATTTTTTTTTTCAAAGATTAACATATACATTACATACAGCCTCTTACTACCAAAAATGAATGTATGATCTGGAAGAGTAGTATTGAAGTGGGCCTTGAAGATTATAGGGCTATTTTTTTCCCATTTCTGAAAGTAACTTACTTTAAAGTCCCTGAAATGGGGTAACATCCATCACGCTATATTTCATTAGTCTTTAAGGCAGCCTTAAATAACTGGGCCTAAAAACAGATCTTGGTTGATACGGCAAGTATCTAAAAAGGATAACTCTGAAAATATCCTCTGCTGGGTTCAGCTTGGATTTTGCCCAAATAAATTCAATCACCTCTCATTATGATTGAGGAGAGGAGGGAAGAAAAAAAAATTCAGGAAAGCAAAGTGCAGCTCTGTTTAATCCATATAGACATGTCTACCCAAATCCCTCTGCTAATGTATTTCTAATTCAGATAGGCTAACTCATCCTGTAAGAAAGAGAGTTCCTGTGAAAATGTGGTGCCTTTTTAGTATTCTTCAAATGTATTAAGCAATTCTAAACCATTTTTTTTAGGGATAGAGCAGGGAAAAAAAAAAAATTTAGCTTTCCGAAGTATGCAAACTGGTTTCCCAGTAATTGCTAGATTACTTAGAGGAAATGAGCACCTGCTGGACAAAGCCACACAATAAACTATCCTTAACTAAGCAGTTAAGGATCTGGGAAGGGTGTTTCCTTGCCCTTTGCCTCTCCAGCATCCCCTATATCTGGCTCATTTTGGCGGCTCTGGCTACCCTCATGTATTCTGAGTTTTTACAGCTGCAAACAGATCTACCATATCTGTATGGGATGGGAAAAAACAAAAAGAAAAGAAAAGAAAAGAGTACTTCAAAATACGTATTTCTTCTTTCTAATCTGTCTCAGCATGCCAGAAGTTCAAAACAATTGCAAATTGGAAATTAAACCTCAGAAACAGAAATGTCAACCGTGTTTAGCAGAACCCATGTGTATTCATTCATTTCTGTGTGCGCATGCAGGCCAGGGCTCACTTCTGTACCATTCCTAATTCCCGCATTCTGCCTTCCTCAAAACCATCACAAATTTCCCAAAGCAAAGCCCTGAGTCATTTGCTGCTAAACCAAAATCTTCAAGATTAGGATGCAGGCCTTTAAATAATCACTAAATTAGAATTTTTAACAGCAATATATGAAAATCTTTGATTTCTGAGCCTCTGCTGCATCCATACATGAAGTTTTAAAGCTTCTCTTTGCGACCATAAAGCTTCAACTTTTAACTCAGCATAACTTGAGTGTTGAAACTGCAGCCAAACATTATGAAGCTCATGACAAAAAGAAGGAAAGCTAGAAAAGTAGGAAGCCACCATCAACCTGATATTGCAACAGGCTCCAGTGGTGATCACCCATATAAAAAGTCATGGGCTAGAGATCCTGCCTGCACACAGTCCCAACCTTGGTAGTAGCTTTTCAGTGGTCTTAGGAGAAACAAATGACAGTGCTCATTACTATTATTATCATTATTGTCATGTGTCATTATTTACTATTTGCATTTATGACTAATCTCAGGGTGGCACATTTCTGGAAAGAAGGTAACATCACGTTACTGAGACTTTAAAGTCATATCAGAAGCATGTAGAAAAATAACGTTGTTCCTTCCAATATTAAGTTAGCAAACCAACAAAAATTTGTATGATTCATCTTTGCATAAAATCATTAGATATTTTAATAGGACTTAAATTAGCAATAGAGATTTACTGATGCTCCTCATCTTCCATCACAAGCATACACAAACTATATATCTTTTAAAATTCAGTTGCTTAATATTAAATGGCAATAATTAGACTTTGAAGGTCACAGAGCAGCTGATGAAATTTTTATCCATGGTCAGGGAATGAATATCCCATAATCAGATAACCAGTATGGATGGACTTCTCTGTAACAAATACCACCATGCTTATTTTCATTCATTTAAATATGTTTTAATTTAGGTTTGCAGCTAATTATGCAGCTTGTAAGGAAAAAAATAATGTTACTTAATGACGGAATGAAAGATTTTTGGCAGAAACCATGTAGTGGAAGATTTTGAAATGAAAAAATAAATGTACATAGGCTTTTCTACATGAAACAAAGAGAATGTTGCAAATGATCCTGTAAAATAATTTAACATCACTGTGACAAAACAAAACTATCAAGAAGTTTTCTGCTCTGATGAGAAGCGTAACACTACACTTACTTCATAGGATGATATTTGCAGTACAATGTTATCTGCATTTTAAGGACTTATCATTACGTAGTTTTTTCAAGATCTTATAAAATGAAAGATAAAGAAAAAGAAAAAAAGGTTCCACATTTAAAAGACATATTTAGAAAATATCATTATATGACTCAAGGATACAAGACTCCTCTCTGCGCTCTGCAGACACTTTAGCAAATCAAATCATAGGTTTACAATAAAATTATGGCTATTCATTACCGCTACCATGTTGCATTCAGTTGTAATGACTGAGATATTTGTGGCACTTCATATAGCCGGTACCACTAAAAAGAGCAGGAGTTTTTCCCTTCCAGTCCCATGTGCATGGCTTTCCTAGCTCACTGAGACTCATTACAGCATATAAAATTCTGCACATGGTCATGTCTCTGTGTGACCAGGACATAATAAATCTCACTATTAGGTTAATGTCTTCCCACAAAACTAGATTTTGATGCAGAAAGAAAAATGGACATTTTAAGGAAACTCCTTATTTATCGAGGTTTAAGCATATGCAGAACATTAAGACTCTACGATACTAAATCTGAACAATGCAAATAAATATTAGCTGCTTGACCTTTTTAACTAACAAATATTTTTCCCAATTTAAAAACACAGACACATTCCCCTTTCCAAGCTCAGTCCTCTACAAAATGCCAATTTTAAAGGTTGTATAGTTTTTAATGGTTCAGTAACAATATACAACACTATGAAAACAGGAGTTTATGATGGCCTTTAGCTACAGCAATGTGAATGGCGCCTCTACAATTTTATTTGGTTAAAAAAATAGTTGCTCAGATGATGTAATAGTCCTTCCCATCAAATTTCCTTTCCTGCTTTGCAGAACTGCACATGTATTGTTTTTTTATATGCCAATGAGTTCATTGGTGATAAAATGCTGCCAAAAGCCGTCTTTGATGACGGGTAATAAATTAAAATGCCTTATATTACACTAAAGTTTTTGGTCTTTTTATTGAGAGAAGGGAAAACAAACAAATTCATCATAATTCACACCATCTATCTGACTCTGTAAGGATGGACAAAAATCACAGCACCGAAAAAATAACAATCTCAGCTAGCTACCCTTCTTATGTTTCATCCTGCTAAAGATACTGAGCACAGAACACCTACCACAAAACAAAGAATAATACACTTATGTTGATTAATCCATGAAATATGCTCTGGGAAAAATATGAAAAATATGAAATATGAAAAATATGAAATATGCACAGGGGAAAAACGCTCAGGGAAAGTCTTGTAACTGCTTGAAAAATAAAAGGTGTAACCCCATCAGCACAAGTACTTAAATTTAGACCATCTCTGCTGTTATTAGGAAGCAAACCTACCCATATCTGGGGGCTGTTGAATTTCTGTTTGGGATTTGGAGGTAGGTAACAGCACAAGTGACTCCTTTCATGGCTCTTCCTTACATCTTAGCCGTCCTCTGATCCTTAAGGTGCTCTGGTCATCCACATCCAGATGTTCCCTACAAGACACACCACCAAGATGCCATCCTTCCCCTCAAGACAGAGCAACAACCACAATACCAAAAGTCTAAAATTATTAAAGATTCACAACTACACCGAATGTTACCTTGTTCAACGTATTTATCATTAACTTCTGCTAATTGTTAAAAACTGGAGAAAGTGTCTATACAAACAGCAAAAATCACTACTGGGCAATTTTTCCCTCAAATGCCTGTTAGCCTCAGTTCTTCCAAGAATTTTTAGAACTTTGTGTGCTTTATGTGATCTCTCCTTTCTCATCTTATCTCTGAAACTACCTAAGCATTAATGGGCTGCTCTGAAGATACTTAGCTCTTGTGCTATTAACCTCAGAAGGTCTAAGATACAGCATTTCTGAGGTCTGGCTGACACATATTCCAGACTCATCAGTGACGTGGCAGCAATACATGCGGACAATTCAGTCTCTCAGTACATCAAAAATTCTTCATCATTAGATATTTAAGAAATGTTATCTGCATAACATCTGATTTAATACTCTATTGATTAACTATATCCTAAATTTGGAAGACTACAAATTCAGTTAGAGATTCTGTTTCAAAATAATCATGATGACCCAGGCAAATATATTCCAAGAGTTGATTTAGACAGAGACATACCTAACTAGTAAATAAGAGAGGCATTCCAAGGGACGTTTGAAGACAAATGACATACCAGCAAAACAGGTTGTCATATTGCAAGAATTTTCTAAAAGCAAGTGGGCATCCCCTGGAAATTATTCAATGATGGAGCTACTCTTAGCACACCCTTGATGTAATTTCTCCTTCTCTCTACCTTTCCTGTATCTGTTTGCATCAATATTCGTCATAGTTTTTTGCAGTCTGCATCCTTCCAACTTTGGCTTTTTTCTAACACATAGAGCAACTGAACCTGTACAGAGGTCATTAAGCAGCAAATGTGTTAAATAGCCTTTAGCACACTTTCAGCATAATCTTCTAATTGCCTTGCTCTCAGTAGGTAGATTCAAAACATTTCCCTTAAAAAAGAATTAAAGAAATGGAGAAATTTGTCTTGTTTATTTAACGACTTTCATTGATAGCTTTGTTTTGCTTTTACTTGGGCCTGTCTGAATCCCACAGACTTTCATATCTATTTAGGCATTTTAAATCAGTAATTTATGTCATAGGTTGAATGGCAAAATAGTGGCATTTATAGTTTATCGTGTTCACATAGCTTTCTGGGTGTGTACCTTGGAGGCAAAAGAAGCAAATTTTTATTAACACATGTTTATACATAATTGACCATTTGGGAAGGAGAAAGGAGAAATGGCTGTGATTTACATAGTTTAAGAAATGTCTTAGAGCACCTCACCCAGTCTGGAGCTCCCACTGTGACAGATGAGCAAATGCCCATGGGAGATGACAGCATGGTATTTATGGTATTTCCTTCTGAGACAATTAAGTAACATATGCCAAGACCATGGGGATTATCTCTAAGCTACACAGTATGTAACTCTATCTGAAGAGAAATATAATATTTTATAAATTTGACAAACCACGCGAAAGAAAAAAATTGATTCATCCATTTTAATATTGCAATAACTTTTCTCTGACTTAATCAGACATTTCTTGATTTTTTTGCAATAAAACAGTGACAAGTTATCATCCCACATACACTTCAGAATTACTGTGTGGCTATAGTCACACATCCAAATGCAAGGTATACACAACTGCCCTGCAATTAAACTCTTGCTAGAAAGCTAGCACAGCTTTGATTTTAGACTAATATTACCCAGCAAAGTAAACTTGAAAATCCAAACACTTTTCTCCATTAAAAGCCTTAGAAGGAAACTCTAAGATAAGATTTAATATTTCTTAGAAAATCTCACCGGCTGGATTCGTCATTGGTTCTCATTTTGTGCAGCCAATTCTTCCTTAGCAAAGTGCATGCAAAACATAACCCAGATGATTTCTTATTACTTTTTACACACTATCTTAGTAATCTGCACAGTTTAAATATTTCTTATGAATTCGCTTATATTCCTCAGGTGTTCAAGGACTCCATGCATTATGTCCTGCATTTACATGACCAGTAGGATCCACATAATAGTACTACAGCTCCTGCAAATATTATCAACAGCAGATGCATCCAAAGAATTCAATTTGGAGTTCTTGTTTTCATTTTCATATAAACTTCTTAGCACAATGGATTTTCCTGCCTTCCAGTGAGGAGGACTAATTCAGAGGAATGCACAATGAGCACAATATTCTACTGAAATATAGTTCATTAAAAAGCAGAAGAAAGTCACATTTGTTCTACAAATCCAGAGTGTTGTTAGGTGAATAGCGGCAAGTGAACAGGTGAATAACTGCAAGTGTAATCAAATATAATTAGAGCCTTCAAGATGGACCAAAATTAGAAACTCTCACAAGTAAACCTGACATTTCTCGTTTAAATAAGAGATAGAAAGGAACAAGAAACAAGCTATTTCCAATAGGTCTGAAGATCAAATCATATATGAACTCTTCACAAATATCAAAAATATTGAAAATTGCTATTCAATAAATATTCATTTCCTACATAATTTTTATAACGTTTGAGTATAAATCCAGATTTTTATGCAAGTTGCATCATTCATCATTTATACAGCTGTGTGTTCTCTGAGCTGTTTTCTGAAGCCCCTATAGTAGCAGGGACTTGGCTCATGCCTCTTTTTAGTTTTTTGTGGTTGTTGTTTTTTAAATTATGTCCTTTGATATGCACTATATGTTCAAAGAATTGAGGTGTAAGAATTTATGGTGTGATCTAACAAGTCTTGCATAGAAAGTCCAGTCCTCTAGTTCACTCTTCACTCCTGCTAAAAGAAATCTTAACTCTGGATTTTATGTTCCAATTCACCAAGTAAAACCAAGAACTTTTTTTTTTTTTTTTTTTTTTTTTTAAATTTGTAGTCCAGGAAGCTTCTATTAACAACAACAACTTTTTTTGGGGGGGGAGGGGGAGAGGGGTTGTTTTTGTATTTTTAGCTTTAGAAGTTACCTAGTGGATAGACAAATGAAGAAAATAAAAGACAAATCCCAGTAGATAAATTGATTAATTCCTCAAATTACTGAATAACTTGAATCAAGGATATAATAAAGGCATTAATTACAAAATATCCAAAGTGACAGGACTACTTTTTCTTTCTACAGTCATGGGGAAAGCTTCAGTTCCCCTTTATTATCATGTGATAGGAAAGTAATGCTCCAGAGAGGACATTACTGAAAGTTATGGATGAACCAGTTTGGCAACTAATAGATCCTTAATGGCTTTCAGAACTAGCCCATAATCTCTAGTAATACCATCTCTAGAGGGTCTTCATGATGTATTATGTAATAATTGTAGTGCTACTAAATATAGTTTGTATTACACTGATTACTATGCCATTAAATTTTTTGCAAGATTGTAATGGAATTTTTGGAGTTTATTCTATCAACACTAAGAACTTCTACAGTTGCTTTCTTTGTTGCTCTGACATTAATACCAATTTCTTTGAAAATACTTGGTGTTGATTGTTTTGTGAAAAGGCAAATATATAGCTTAATATGAATCAAACAGGAAATAAGAAAACAGAAATAAGAGAAACAAGAATAAGAAACTTGTCCTTTTTTTCCTACTTTTTTTCAAAATCAGAGTTTTACCCTTAACGTCCAGTAGTGATAAGCATCCAAGAGACATCCAAAATAGGTGTGGGCCCTCCCATGACCGTATCTTTCACATCTATGTGAGCAGCCCTGTGCAGGGCTAGTGTGGATGCCCATCTTTCTTCTTGCAAGTACTTCACACAGTTTTCCTGGCTACTAGGGGCTTGCTATATAAGTTTAAGGTGTTATCAGCACCATAGGCAAAGCTGAAATATATTGTCCTATCAAGGAGTCCATCATTTTGTCCTCATCATTAGTGACCATATCTTTGATCTTCATGACACCAGCACAGTGACATTAAGAGGGCAGCTAGGGGCTAAAAAAACTTAATTCATCCTCAATATTTTACCCTTCTCTTCAGGATCCTGTGCTCCAACAGCATCTCCAACATATAGGCACGTGAAAGGTCTATACTTTCCTCTGAAGAAGCATTCCTCTTCCTGAAAACATTCAGTTTAGTAACATGGGTGGACAGTCATGGCTCTGGACAGAAACTCATTTCAGTTGCAAATCTGTAAAACACATGTACAAAAATAAATAAAATTCTGTATATTGAGTGTACAGAATATCTCATTTTACTAAAACAATCAGCAGTTCCACTCGAGCTTCCCTTTTCCTAGTAATTTTGGCACTTTTTGAACTGCCACGCACATACATGGTACCATATACAAATTAAGCTCTCATTAATAAAGTCTAAAATTGCCAGAGAAGTATCTGGATGTGTCTGGTGTGCTTCAACTCTTTCTAGGCACCACAAGCATGAACTCTCTGGTGGCAGCAGCCACCCAATAAAAGCAGGTCCAGATGCCAAAACATCTTTCTCTGACTCTTGCATAATTTACGATGGTGAATTTTCTAGGATGAGGACCACAGTCAGAAGAGCTGTACTACAACATTAGAGATAAAATGCCACGGCAACACAGCATCCCACTTCACCCAAGCCAAAGATATGTTCACCATGAGCAAGGATGATAACAAAATATGTCATAGAATTTTAGAGTTAAATCCGTACTTTTTTACCCCTCCAAGAACAGGAATCACAAAGTGCGTATTACTGTAGAAAAAGAGTCACACGTTGCTATTGCAGTGGGGGGAGTTTAGGATGAGTGCCATTACATCAATATTATTGTAATTAATGATTACATCATGCTCTAGAAGAGAAGTACAGGAAAGGTTGGTATTAACATGCAAGACACGGCAGAGTGATATCAATACTCATTTTACTGTTCAGATTTTTTTAAAAAGCTAATAGCTGTCAAAAATACCCATTATAGGCTAGTCTATAATTTGTAGAAGTCAAGTAATACATTTTTTCTGAAGGTATAATGGATGCTCCATGGAGCAATTATTTTAGAAAGACAACTTCATCTCAGCTGTCTCATGCCAGCAGAACTATTTAAGAGCCAGAAATGCATAATTCAACATGGAAGAGCTGTCAGATTTGAGAATACCTTTAAATTATAAAAACTTAGCACCACTAGTCAGTTATAATTATAATGGAAAAGTAGTTTTCTGTCGTTTTATCATAGAAAACATCTCTTAAGAAGCAATTTCATGTGTTAAAATATTTTGGCAAAGTGACTTTTGATTCTAAAGGGATACAGATTATCTAGTTTTATACCTGAATATTTTTCTTACAAATTGAATATAACAGCTTACATAGTACAACATTGTAAGTGCAAGAGAACTATTAAAATCCCATTGGAAATTGTTACTATGAAACAACGAGCAGCATAATTCACTAGGACGGGTCAAGTTATGCACAAAAATATTGTTTTATTACCAAATATGACAAGATAGTTTTTCTTTAGACAGTCAATTATTTTATATAGCACATGGCCAAAACATAAAAGATGTTTTTTCTCTTGACTTTGGTAAGCAAAAAAAAAAAAAAAGGAAAATTAGGAATACCTAAAGTAGTCATTCGGATGGTTTTAATAGCTAATACTAAAATTGTAATGAGAAAAATCATTAAATCCATTGCATTTTCTTTCTCAGGTAAGGTACAACAAAGCTAATTTTCTTCTTTAGGCAGAACATTCAAAGTAGCCTAATTTCACTGTCAGTGGCTTCATTCAGAGAAACGAGCTTGTTGACTTACGTAAGGGTTATACTGCAGGTCCAATACTTGCCTGAAAACTTTCTTGTGGCTGTTTGTCAGATTAATCAGCTTTGGTTTTGTTGTTGTGGTCAGCGTCATTGCACTTTTGAGATTTCTATTGGCCTTTCTGCTCAGCCCACACACACAGTGAGCAGAAGAGTATTTTCCTCTCAGAGATCATTAGTTGTGGTCAGTTGGTTTTACTTATATATTTGTTTACTAAATACCATGGTATACTTATTCATATAATTATCCAGTTTAAAAAAACTCAATCGGGATACTCAAGCTCAATATTAAGCATTTCTGGAATGCAAAACATGGAATTTTATCATTAAATACAATATTTTTCTCACTTTTTCTGACAACAAGCTTTCTATACATTAAATTCTTGTAATCATTGCAGAGTTAAAACTTCATCATCATAATATAGCCAGGCAGTAATGACTGCATGTCTTTTTTTATTTACCCATCCAACAGCATAAGACGACATTACATCCAAGTGATGGAAAGTTATCATATCATCTTCTCCCTAAAAATACCAGCATATTAACAAATCATTGGGAACAGAAGATCGGATTCAGAAAATATCAATTACTTGTTTCTATGGGTGCAACATGATGTAGTATTGCATAACATAATACAAATTAAGGAATTAAATTGGTTTCATTTCATCTGATTTTCTGGCAGACTTTAATGTGTTAAGTATTTACTAAAAAGGCAATTGGAATGCATAGAGCATACGGAATTATAATTTATTAACACATCTACAGTAGTAGCACACATTATCTTCCACCGTCTCACCTGTAAGTTTCTGGGTTAAATCGGGTTCTATCCCAACAGCACATTAAGTCTCAAGATAGATGGCAGTGTATTCACCAGCAAATTTTCAGTATACTGTAAGATTTACCTTTATTCTGTATCTTTTTCATGTAATACACTGGGGTCGTTGCTTAAATGGAGGTTTAAAATTAACACTATAAATACAAATTTGGGTTTTGTAGGACATGACAGCGTACACTTTTAATGAGTCAACAAAATTGTAAGTTTGCTGCTACTCTGTAGTATTCCACATGCAAGCAATTTAGTAATAATGAATAATAAATATATTTTAATAGCTCTTCCATTTGCTGTGCCACATATTTGATTTAAGCGTAACATGGGACTCTTCCCGTTCTCCGCAGACGTGGCCACGAAAGGTTAGGGACGGGGTTGCTGCTGGCAAGCCCTTGTTTCAAAGACACTACATGCAGGGCTAGCACAGAATTTCTAAGTCCACAGTGAAGGAGAAGCAGTAATGGAAAGCTGCAGTGCCCAATAAATCTCCCATTCTATAATTACGACTAGCAGTGCTGGGAGGCCACATTCGTGTTCCATGTAACTCTGGAAAGGTTCCTGGAGGAAGGAAAACCATCTCCTTCTGCCTAGTTCTGGAGCAGCAGCAGCAGAAACATTCAAGCACCTGAGGCAGGTGAAGACCCAACTCATACAGAAGACCTTTCTGATACCTGGATACGCAGCTCCCATTGCCTTTAATGGAATTTGAAGAGCCCTACAAAGGTGCAAACCTGCTGGAGATGCAGGTCCACCTCTGCACAACAGGCAGGTGTGCACAAGGATGTACTTTTATTTGGTTTCATTGGAACAGATAATTCAAACACAGCACGAATAGCTGGCTCCTTTCTTCATTTTGTTCATGGATGAACATGCAGATGAAGTAACTCAAGGTCATATTACCTTCTGGCTTCCTTTGACACAAAGTGTATTTACAGTATGGTCTAAAAGTTTTTAGTCCACTTTCTCAGTCCAGCACTCTTGAATTCGATTAATGGAGACATTCTAGCACTTACGTCAAGTTATGCTGCATATAAATGGGGATAAAAGGATTACCAGGTTATAAATCAATTGAGAGATTCAGGGATATAAATCTCGGGGACACTGGGCTTCAGTGTTAATGGAAATGCAGAACTCCATTGGCTAATCACAATTTAGATTGCCTACCAGATACATCACCGGATTTTACAGGGTGTCTTAATAAAACTCTAGCACTGTGGGGAAGAAAAGAAGAAAAAAACACCCGTTAGTGCTGGCCCACAGCAAATGGCTTGCATGCTAGCCAAGGGTATGTGTGAATAAGCTTATAGAGTAAAACACACAGACAAGGATGATTTTTTGAACGAGGAATAAGCTACGTTATAGCGGGGCTGGGAGTCATGGTTCTGCTTTCATACGGGTAATGCAATGCGGCAGCCATGGGACTTTAATTAGTTTCTCAGACAGGAGCTTATGCCAGGCAAAAAAAAAAAAAAAATGAGCGTAGAAAGCTATACATATATGGGAAAGAAGAACTTGCATGACGAGAACATGCAATGGCTAAGTTAAACGCTTAGCCATGTTTCAAGTTCGTGAAGGAACTTTAACTTGGTGGAAATGCTGTCTTTTTATACAGAAGACAGGAAGATTCTCATTCCCTCTGAAAAACTGCACGAGAGAAGGAGAATTGTAAGATAAGCAAAGAGCCTATTTGGGTCTCCTGAACAGGCAAGACTTTAGCTACAGTCCCTCGTCTAGAAGAGCTTGAACTTGGTGCTAAGCACAAAGAGAGCAGGAGTAACAGCATGGAAAATGTCTTCAGCACAATCAGGGGAGGCAGAATAATTTTGCAGGCATAGGGATATCCAGCTTTCCCCAAGGGTAGGATATCTGCTGGCTTTGCTTAACACAATATGCATTTTTGTCTGAATACTATAAGAAATAAAGGCCAAGGAGACACTACGGGAAAAGGAATATTCACCTGGGTATATAAAAATGTGAAGGACAGTTTATATCCAAAGGGTCCACTGTGATTTTATAAATACAGTATGTAATTTTTAGAACAAATCAAATACAAATAATAAAAACTCACGCAATGATTAGTTTAGGGGCTTTTGCAAGGAATGGGATATTTTAAGCTTATCTAACACTCAATATTGAAATGACCTAATGTTTAACTAAGCATTGTCCTATCTTATAGATAAAGGGAAAAAATATTTTGAAGGCTTTCCTTTGTAAGAAATACATCATATTAGAAATCCCTCGACTGTTGTATTATGTACAAAACAGAGTCAACCAAGAGCCTCTTGCAGGTTCCTATAAATACTTGCCGAACATCAGGATACTCTATTGGAAATAATGAGAATGCAGCGAGAAGGCATGACCCTGAGCAACTGAAGTGGGGAGGGTGGCGTGGAAGATATTAAATCATGCTTTCTTTTGTCATTGCCAATTATATATTCAGGTTCCATGTCAATGTTTAATATATCATCACAGCAATGTATTACAGTTCCAATGTGTACTGCATAATCATAGTAACATCACTCTGATGTCATATTAGACACTGGCAAAGAGCCACATTACTAGTTAAAATTGGGGCTT